ACCCCTGCATTTATTTCTTCCTCTTTCCCCCCCCTCCCTTGCTACTGTAGCCAAGTCAGGCAGCCTATTGAGAAACAGCAAACCATCTGTTAACAGATTTGAAGTTCTGAATTATACTTGAGTGTGTAGAGGCACTCGTGCTTAGCCAGAAACATTCATTTGAATTAAGCTATAAATGCTGTGTAAAAAGAACCATACATTTTAACGTAGGTTCATGAATAAATTTAAGGGAGGGCAACTGCACTCTAAAGTTTTATTGCTTCAAAACCTGGCCTTTTTGGTGTTCTGTGATCACTTGATGCTTTTATAGTGTGATTGAAGCTTTAAACCTTGTACTGGGGGGAGATAATTCCTGTGTTAAACCGTTGCAATACAATTTCATTGCTGGATCTCTGGTGGAACAGAAGCTCTGTAGGTTTTGGGGGTTTTTTTTTTTTGAATTTTCTTAAAAGATGGTTAAACAGGATAAAGGAAAATCTTACTCATTATTGAATTTTCTGGCGTACAGCCAGGTCTCCTAGTTCCAGGCACTTTGATTATTTTCTTTAGTTGCTGTCTTGCCTAGTCTAGTGTAATCTATTAATTTTTTATGGTAGGAGAGACAGCCCTGCATAGAGCTTGCTCGAGTAACAAAGTGGAGAGATTGATTCAGCTTCTCTCTTACCCTGGAACAGACATTAATGTTAAAGGTAAGTTATTAATTTCCTCTACAGAACTAAGAAATTAAGCCAGATAAAGAAATGTGTTAATATCTGTTTGATAAAAATGCTGTTAAAGCTGTCTTTATTATTATAATAAACACAAAGTGAGGACTTCATTGCCAAAACTGAGGAAAGGTTAATTCATAATTAAAGTATCTTTTAACATCACATTTTCTATTGATTTTTTTTCTTTTGAATGCTATCTGATTTAGTTCAGATGTTTTTTTAATATAATTTCTTGGTTTGAAATCACAAGCTGCTACCGTAGCCATGACAAATACTGAGAATTAAAGTGTTTTGCTGTCTAATGAGTTGCATTATTAACGTTTTAGTACTACTTGCGCTGTTTTAAAACTTCCCTTGATTTATAATTCAGACTATGCTGGCTGGACGCCTTTGCATGAAGCCTGTAACCATGGCAGCACAGTGTGTGTCCGCGAAATTCTGCAGCGCTGTCCAAAGGTAGACCTGCTCAGTCAAGTGGACGGGATGACTCCTTTGCATGATGCACTGTCAAATGGACACACAGAAATTGGCAAGCTGCTCCTTCAGCATGGGGGTGAGTGCATTTATGCTGAACTGGTTTAGGGGAATCGTCCACTGTACCGAGTCCATGTGAAGTTCGTGGCGCTTTTCTTGATAGTTGCTTAAAATACAGTGTTGCTATGAAATATTTTATTTTAAAACATTTTTAAGCCAAGCTGTTTTGGTCACAATAAAAAGAATACTGTTTTCACACTTACCTTGGTCGGCTGAATATGAAATTAACCAGGATTTTCAAGTTGGTTTTTTTTTCCAGTATGGTAATGTTTTTATTCTGCATTTTACACCATATGCATTGTAACTGTATTCTCCAAACTCACTAATGAAGGTAAAGATTACCTAGTCACCAAGCAAAGCTAAGGATTTTCCTTTGTTTTGATCTGTTTTACCGCGATGCAAAACTAGATCAGTAAACCTCTCTGTAATCATGTATTTCAACATAAATTTGTTCAGCATTTATGAAAATTAATGTGATGGTCTTTGAAGAACACAATTAGCTTGGTAATTACTTTAAGAAAGGAATCTATATTGTAATTGTGATAGCTGCTGTTTAGGGATAATAGTGGGAGGGATGCCTTAGTTTCTAAAAAAAGATACATTGCCCCTAGGCAGATGCATGATAAATGTTTTGAGCAATGTTTTTTGTTCGGTGACAGGGAACTCGTATCTTGTCTCGAGATATACTGTCTCAATATAATTAACTTAGCAAGTTTTTTTAAAAAAACAACTGCAAAGAAGGGTCTTGGGTATCAACTCTTCCTTCTTTTAACTCATTTACTAAAACGAGTATTTCCGATATCCCCACCGTTAACCTGCTGTGTCAGTTTAACCTCTGTGCGTTATTTGCTGAGTCCACATTTTTTCAGCGGAATTCATTCTGTGTATAGCCATGAGGGAGAAGAATGCACTGTATTTAGATGGCCTATTACTTAATTAAGGTAGAGAAACAAAATTTTATTTCCATCTTGACATAAGACCCTCTGTATTTACAGTCTTCTCCTGCCCCCTAAAGGCTATTTCGGTGTCTGTGGTGCAGGCACGGCTCATGATCAATACATTCCTCTGCAGTCCCACCTCTGTGTTTGCTGAGCTTCAGTTCTGCGGCTCCCAGGTGTTTTATGTATCTGCCAAACCACGTATCTGACATGCCAAGCCAATACCTGGGCTCAGCTCCATCGGTCTAAGTGATGCAGTAGCCAATATTGTAGTAAGACCAGCTCCCCAATCGGAAATGGCATTGCACTGACAGATGTGCATTTTTCCTGGGCTGCTGTGAAGAATAGGCAGTGGATGATCCTGTTGTCCTAGGGGAAGAGCTCGACTTGCACTTGCATTCATCAAGGTTTTCTGGCAACTGTGAGGCTGTGTGTGCCCTTATCCTTGCCTTTGTCACACTCTGGGTTTTGGGCTGTCAAACAGCTGACAAGGCTGTGGTGGAAAGCATGTTACCCATTCGGTGTGGATTTACTCAGCTCAATAGCTTAAAACACATCTCTGCAAAAACTTCTGCTTTCTGTCTCTAAAGCCCTTCACCTTGCAAAAGTTAATTACATTATGTGATCAGTGTTGGAGTAAAACAATACAGCTTTATTCACAGCAAAGTTAAAAACTCTTATGTGGGTATGTAATGAGGTGAATTGCCTTTTGTAATTAAAATGCTTTTCCGAAAATGTGTTCAAGTTAACATGGCATCATTACTTTAACATAGTGGCCCAAATTTACATAAGAAGATTCCTAATGTGTTCATCTTTGAAAAACACCTCCTGTGGTGTGTTAACTGCCTCCATTTTTTTTTCTGATGCAGCCTTTCTTAAACTTACCAAGATGTCTCTAAACTATTTAAGCATTAATGGCTCCATCGTACTAATAAACAGGGAATACCAAAAGAATGTAGTATAATCTGAACAAGTAAAGCATGCCCCATTTGCTTACTTTAAATCTCTTTATTAAAGTAATTCCTTTTTGCGTTTCAGAAGTCTGTTAAGACCAAATTTTGAAACTCAGTTGTTGGGGGACACCAAGATTCCTACCTCAGGAGTTCACCTGGCTGCATAGCCTAGAACAAGGCTGACAACACCATCCAAAAAAGTAAAATAAAGACCATCATAGTAAAGTGCCTTTAATTTGGAGTCAGTGTCGGCAAACAATGCGGTCTATAAAATACTTAATAGAATTTTACAACAGTAATAACACTACAGGTTTACATACCCTGTGCATCATTACTTGAAATTTTAGGATAAGCAACTTCTTACTTTTTCGTTTTTATACAGTAATCCGTGACTTTCAACCTAGCAAAACTGGAAAGAAAATCAAGACAATATTGTAAAGAAACCGACAAAGGGCTCTCTACCTGTTCTAGATTGTATTGCAGATGTGTAATTCATCAGTTACATCAGCACAACGTAGTACAAAAAGGAACTTAAACAGACTCCTAGCTTCTGGCAAAGCCAAACTGAAATCTTGTTCAGCTGCCAAATCGTATGTGGTGTTATTATTAATGTTTATATTTTCCCTGCAGGACCAGCACTTCTACAGCAGAGGGACTCTTGTGGAAAGCTGCCACTGGATTATATTGAGTCTGTACCAGTAAAGCAAGAACTTCTGAATATTGTTCATCCAGATGAAAACGTTGAAAGCTTCTGTGAACGCATAGAACAAGATTTGTGCAGTCAGCAGAAAGAGCTGTGGTTGATTTTATTTAATAAGATGCTGCTGAATTTTTGTTCAGTTTATAATCTGGCTTCACCCTTTGTTTCAACTCTCGGAGACACAGCTTGTGCAAGTGTACTTCCAGCAAGGGCTCTTTATAGCTGTAAGACGAGTTATACATTTTCTGCAGATTGGTTAGTAGGTAAATACTTTAAAGAGCTGGAAACTTTTCAAGAGCTACCACAGTTTCTTCAGGAAATATCTGCAAACATGTGGTTTTTCCATGAAGAACAGATGAAAGCTTTAGTAGCAGTTCTGGAAACTATGGTAGAGACATATCAGCTCTTATGTCTTTATTCTTAAGCAGTTAAAACTTAATTAAACTTAAATTAACTTAATTAAAACTTAAACATTTTCAACAGTTAACTTCCAAACAAACTGCGCTGGTTGAATCTTGACTGTTAACCCTTGGCATGAGGTCAACTTTTTTCCCAGCAACCAAAGAAGTGCTTATTCCACAGCCTTACACGAGTCTGACGTGTTGGTATCTTCCATGTGGTTAATGCCTTCCTTTTGCTGGAAACTGGAAGTCAGATGTGTTGACTCAGGGGATTTTTAGGGAGAATTTTTCCAATACCAGTGCCTTCTAGCTGTCTGACAGATCTAGATGCCTGTGACCAGAAGGGTGCTGCATCATTTGCACTAAGTTAAACTTTGTCCTGGAAATCTCTGTCCGTCTCACGCCATAGTTCACTTTGGTTTCCAGAGGCAGTGATTCTTAAGCTGGGTTTTCCTTGAGAACAGCTTGTGCCTATGTATTTTGGTATCTTTCAATAAAGCTGCTATTTGTTGTATTTTGTCATTAAGCAAAAATGTATGGAAAATTAAATTCCTCCTATCCATTCTTGCCTCGTAAAAATGCTTTTTTAAGCAGAGATGGCAATTTTTTGTCGTCACAGAAGCAGCTCCTTTTGCTCCATTCAGCTTGTGCAGCGTGAAGGCGATTGTACTTACAGCAGATAACTTGGACATTTCTGCAGAAATATGGTCAGTATGGCTGAAATGCCACTTTTTCTGCTTTATTCTGAAAAACTACGTTGTGTAAATTACTTGTTAATTACCTGCTGTAAAATTAAAAGCATAAGGTAATATGTTCACAGTTACAGGATCGGTGTACTGGCATTTCCTGTGTCTTTAGTTTGATGGACGCGGTCACACAAAGGCGCGTGGAAAATCTTTTCCCCCTTCAGCACCGCAGCGCTCGTGGTCACGGATGGCTGTGCAGCGGCTTGAGGAGAGCAGCACGACACCCAGGTTGTGGTGGGTACTTTAAAACGGGTCGTGTTGGTGCTCCCCAGCCCAGGGCTGCTGCCCAGGGTCAGATCCACCCTCCACGTAACTCGCGGTGTCCTTGGCTCTGCTCTGACTCGCGGCGGTTAGATAAATCCGTTGCGCTGGCAGTGTATAAAATGATCTGGTAACGCTCCTGGGATTCCCTCAACTACAGATGCCGGCAGAAGCAGTGGCATAAATCTAGTTACGTTGGCAGGGGAATTTACAAAGGATTAGACAAGACAGTTTAAGTACGTACTGGGCATCAGATTCTGACACTAAGTATGGATCTCCTTAAAAATTACACCCCATTTAATATGGGAATTTTGTTCTCCATTCTGTGAATACATGCAAACTGCACATGATAAATCCTTTAAACTAATCCTCTAACCTAATTTAGGATTGTGTGCTACATATTCTATCAGATGGTCCTTTTAATTAATTAAGGAAAAGAAAATCCTGTGCTGTAAAGGTATTGAGGCTTGTGAGGCAGCTGAACCACACAATTGTGCTGATGGGGTTGGGGATGTGGGAGAGTTTGTGTTTTGGAGGGCTCCTTTTGCACATCTGTGCTGCAACGACCACCCTCCCTGCCTGGCATCTGCAGAGATCCAGTGCCAAATTCATTTCAGGTAGGGTCTGGTAAGAAACTCCTCTAAGGGATGTTCATCCCTTCCCCTTCCAAGGGAAGAGAAGGGAGTGCTGCTTTAAAACACCAATACCTGATTTTTTTTAGATTTTTTTTTTTCTTACAGATTCAGTAATAGATCAGGAATAATTTAAAATCTTAGCCTTCAAAAGGAAGGTAATAATTAGCAACGCTTCCAGTTTCAATTCTTCTCTAATAGCAATTTATAATATTAAAAATAAAGAGCCCTAAAAGAAAGGGTGTGGATAATAGCTGCTTCTGAAATTGATGTTGCTTGACTAGAGGGAATAAGTTACATTGATGCAGCTGGCTTGCAGCACATTAAAACTTCCATTTAGCCTCTCTGCAGCTGAGATACATGATCTCATAGCAATTAATCCGCTGAAGATGCTCAGGCTGAGCTGGTCTTGGAACCAGACCTTCGTTACCAATGCTCAGTGTTTATTAATGACTGATTATTATTTTTTTTATATACATGCCTGCAGAACAGCCTGCTCTAACGGGAAAAAAAGGGGTCAGCGTTTGTTTCCGCTTGTGCATTTCTGATTATTCTGGAGTAAGAAAGCAACACCAAAAAGACCTTTGTCGTGTGTGAGATGGACTAATAAGCACCAGCGGTCCCTGTTGGAGGGCGGGATGGAAGAAATGGTACGTGCGTGCTTTCTAGAGAATGCAAAACATGCATTTAAGTTGGCAATATTAACGTTTTCTTTAGTCAGGAATTTGATAGGTAATTGGGAATTTAAAATAGTTGGGACTCAGCTGGAGAAAAAATAATTCTGGTCCTAATATAATACATTAGTGAGTGAAATGAAAGCAGGAAAAGCATTATTTTGGTCTGACAGAGTGATTCTGCTTATATAGCCAAGATACGCTCAATTATTTGCTATTATGTCACTTAGAGAGGAGAAAAGCACACCAATCATAAGTCCTGCTTTCCTATTTAAACTGATTTCAAGTACATCTCTCCAAGATACTGTAAAGTAGATAACAGATGCTAAATGAACGTTATTAACATGGCAAAATGAAATATTCAAAAGTTAGCAAATGTCTGAATTAATATTCCACATGTAGCCCCAACTTAAATATTGTCTGTGTGCATCATCAGTCTTTAATCATACGGTGACACAATTTCGTTCTCTCACTTTAAGTAAGGATCATGTATTGAAAATTTTCCTGTTATTTCCCAGTTATGCTCTTAACAGAGTTGAGTTTTACACATATTCAGTTTCATCTATACTCAAGTTTGCAAACTCAACATCCTTAAAAAATCTGAAGTATATCTCAGTCGTATTTAACATAAAATTATGTGCCTCATCTAATTTATTAGAGAGTACCTGTTCCCTGTCTGAATAGCAAAACTTTCTTGTTAAATCATGATTCATCACATCATAAAGTGAGATCTATTAAGTGATTAAACTGTCTGCTTTTTAAAATCCCTCTTGGTACAGAGGGTGTTTCCCACTTCCTGGGTTAGTTAAAAGACAAAACAAAATCAGACAACCTGCCCCCCTGCCCTTTTTCTCTCTATGCCCACATGTGACACCATGAGGTGCTTCACAAGCACAAAGGTGCATCTGCATACTCAATAAATCCTGTTTTATGTGCAAAGATCTCTGTGACGTTTTACAGTGTTTCTGGATTTAAAAATGGCAAATAAATCACTGCTGCCAGCGTATTAGGTCTGAGCTCAGGAGTGTTGCTGCTGCTTTATTTTTGTTTAGAAGCAAAGATTAGCTTATAAAATTAAATGGTTACTGAAGCCATAGGAATATTTTAAAATCTGTTATAGCAGAGGGGTGGTTCAAGCCTCAGAGCCTGAGCTGCCTTTAAACTATCAGAGTCTAAATAGTCCTGAAGGTCTTCCCTGCACCAAGTATGGTCCTGACTGATGCTGAATCGCTGCATTGCAAAGGGGCAGCATCGCAACGGCCAGGGCCAGAGCTGGTTCTAACCCCTGCCTTGTCCCCCTGCTGTCAGCACTGCTGAGGCCACCCCTCGGAATCCTGGGGTCAGTTTTGGGCCCCTCGCTCCCAGAAGGACATTGAGGGGCTGGAGCGTGGGCAGAGAAGAGCAATGGAGCTGGGGAGGGATCTGGAGCAGCCGAATGCTGGGGAGCAATGAGGGAGCTGGGGG